ATATATATACACACATAGATACATACATACATATATACATAAAATACATAAGGTATAGTCAGTGTGATGAAGCAGCCAACCTCGTCAGGAGAAGCTCACGAACCTTCTGCTTGAAAGTTAAACGACTTTTCACCATTCTGATATCCTGGGGGAGCGCATTCCACAAAAAAATAGCTTGAGTAGTATTGAGTAAGACATGAAACTAATTCTGTTATGCGAAATATAATAACAATTTTATATGGAAACGTAATGGATAAATAGGCCTTTTTCGTCGTCGCTAGCAGAGGTTCTAGTTAATCTGCGGTGGTAGTTTTCCAAATGAGAATAAAAAAACTATATCACTATAATAAGCATGTTACAAGGACATGAATTACATAACGTATTCCCAGCTGACGTTGACAAAAAGTAAAACAAATGACAATCTAGCCATGTTAAAGGTCAAAAGCAAAAAATCTTTTAACAAGAAAAAACACTTCGATCTCACAGGTTCACACTGATCGTCATAACAAACAAGACAGGTCCTAACCTGTTTATCGATGAGAGTCTTGGGAAATTTTTCATTTTTCTACACGCATAAACAAGTCGATGTGACACAGAATAATAATTTCCGCTTGTTATCGAATCACCGTGCAAAATGCGGTATTTGTAGACTGAGGCACTTCCTTCCTATCTGAAGCAGAACAAATATAGGCGACCCTATTTTTTTTTTTTTTTGGCGCCGCCTTTTGTCTATGGGCGTCTCGTGGCGCCCCATTGTAACCTGGCGCCCTTGGTACTTGCTTTTTTGCCATAGGGGTAATACGGCTCTGAATGTAGGGAAATGAAATGTTTTAAATAACTGCCGCCCATAATGTATTTTCCGTTCAAAATGGAGTCGCTTTTCCGCCGTCGAGTTAGGGAATATTCTGTAGAATGTAATGCCTTTATATCACGTATGTCAGGGAACATTTCTGTCATATTGTAAAAAAACTGTTATTGCGTTCTTGCGTAATACTGCATATGCGCAGACTGAAGACTTACTGTTGGTCGACAGATAATCTGCTAACTCGCTGTTTTTACCTTTTAATTTTATGTTCTGTAAGATTTATTTTAGTACTTTATACTGTTAATTTATTTATAACTTTAAAATGAAAAATATTGTACTGAATAGTCTGAAACACAGGTTCTACCTAGTTCAGGCAAATAAGCAACTGAGCTCTAATCAAATCGTTAAGATACTATACATGTAAATATGTCCCTTTTTATAAAATAAACAATTTATTATTATTATTATTATTATTATTTGATTTGAATATTTCATATTTATATAGAGTAGAGTGAATAGTTTTATTGAAAGCTTGAGTGTCATTGTTGTATACTCATTTTGATCTACATTGTACTTACAATAGTGACGAGTGTTGAAATGTTTGGAATTTATAGAAGGTTACTCTGATGCTTCCAAGCAATATGCTAATGCGAAAACAGAAAACTGCCGATTTTCTTGTTAGTAGTTTTTCTGTGAATAAGAATTCTACTTCCAACGAAGCTATTGAACAAGTACCTACAACGGAAAATTGCTATAAAAGTATGAAAAAATAACATTTTGGAGGCAGTAAATTAGGCAAGAAACAAAATACCGACGACAAAGAAATGCGCCCTTTAAGATACCGTCACTAATTCCACCAAGCTGAGACTTAACAAAGTTGTCCTCAACACGGATTGAATTCCAGACCCTCGGATACAAAGTCGTGAAAGGGATAATACACTAGCAACGTTAATGGAAATCTTGCGAGGAAGTGTGGGGAATACAAAATATTCGGAAGACGATGAATACAAATATAAAGAACCTCTTTTATTAGACCATATTGAGGAAACTCGACTGCATGAAGATCTTTTTTGGGAATAAAGTGGCGTATAAAGTGGTGTAAGTTGTTAGCAATAACTTGAATAACTTATTGGAAGGAGATGATTAGTCACAATTTAAGTCATGCAGAACACTTTTATAATCTTTGCATTATAAAACCCTATCTATTTAAGCTTCTAGATTACTGTAATATAAATCGGTATTAAGCATTATTGAAAGAAAGAAAGAAAGAAGAAAGAAAAATAATTTATAATATCTTCACATTATTGCTAATATCTTCACATAATGTTAACTACTGATAGTAATTTCACCAATAAATTTCATCACCTCAAGAGAATTATGGAGCTGACGTAGTTAGACCTATAATACTGACCGTAACCCAATTAAGAGAAGGCTAGAAGAAAGAAAAATGATTGATGATCATTGTGGATGCAGAAGCATACAATACAATTGATAATTATGTGATCAGAACCACCATATTTCCAAGGTTGTATTCGTTGGAGTGCGGACAATGGGCTCATTATCCCATCAAAGGTAATCGCCCCAAATTAGATACTAACTAGAAGCAATAAGCAATAATCAATGAACTAGTTATAATAATAATAATAATAATAATAAATAAGCTTTATTGTACACCAAGTAAGTAATTACACATATTCGGATATTATAAAGAATAAGGAGGGTACAAGGGCGGCCTTATCGCTAAAAGCGATATCTACCAGGCAACCTTTGGGTGTATGGAACGATGGTTAATTTAATAGGGTAGTCCAGGCATACATAAATATTAACCACTAACAAAATAAATAAACAAACATATATATATATACTAAATTATATACACATACATGCATACCAAATATATATATAAATAAATACATATACATAACCATATATATATACAATCTAAATAAGTATATAAAGGAGCTAATACGATTCATGACGTAGACAAATAATAATCTTTAACTTTAGCTTTAAAGGAAGCAAGTGACTGTGCTTGTCTCACCGACACTGGGAGTGCATTCCACAGGCGAACAGCTTGGATCGTAAAAGATTTATCATATGCCTTAGTAGAATGCTGAGTCATCCCAAGCCTCAACCTCTCCGACGCTCTCAGGGATCTTGAATGTGTGTCATGGTGGAACTTGAAACGTTCTTTAAGATATTTAGGGGTTACAGGATTATACAGTATACTGTAGAGTAAGGACAAGACATGCATATTCCGGCGAAGGCGGATTGGTTTAGTTGGATTAGTTATCTTGGAGATTTGGACAATAAATACCAGATGACGTACATTATCGGGCGTCGGTATGTCTATACTCTTTTTATTGAGGTCCTGGAATAATGGGAGCAAGAGCCTGGTTGGAATATTTGGGATTAGAAGAAGTAGGTAGTGATTTGAAAATTAGAAGTAAGTAGGGTTTTCTAAGTGCACTAGCTTTCGGTCTGTGGCTATGGCCATGTATGAAAGTATTCTATATCAATCATCTACCTCCAAATTATCTCCAGACCTAAAAATCATACCATAAAAATGCGACAATAAAGATATATATATGACAAGACAGATGATTAAGTTTCTGCTCAATATTATGATGTTAATACTTCATATAAGTTTGAAAGTGCGCAGTGTTGAGGTCAAGGCCTACTGTTAGAGATGTGGAGTATGAGCAAAACTTTTAATTGCTCACATTATTAAAAGTTAGGGGTGCTAACTGTATTGCATTCAAATTGTACCATAAAGTTTTTATCTTCAGACTATAAAAATATCAGACATGAAAACTTTCGAAGACTATAAGATATTCAAGTATTACTACCTCTATCTTTCCGAAAGTAACAGTCAACTAAGGGACTAGAGATCACAGAACAGAAATGCGACTGCGTCCTCCTGATAAACCTGAACCTTTTTAAAAACTAGGATTAGTCCGCCTCCCAAGTATGGAGATTAAGGTAAACACCTCGCCTGAAGAGGAGACCGGAGAAGTTGTTGTTGAGATTGATGTGATTTCAACACTAAGACAATATATTATCTTTGAATTATATTCCAACGATTTCTGATCGATACCATACAGAGCAAACAGAGAGTATACAAAACGATAATGTTTGCACGAATCTGGGATCTGAAGCTTAAAATAAACGAATGCTGTTGTCAACATTTTATGTTTCGGTAAACATTCAATATAGACTGCGAAAATATTGGACAAGTAAACTTTGCACGGGATTCGCGACTGTGTGGAGTATTTATTGCTCTTCATGTGTACGAATTAAAGGTTTCAATGTTAAAAAATCCTAGATAAATCATTTCTTGTTTAGGACAATTATTCGGAATAATAATCATCTGGTTGTTTTTTTTGTCCAGTACTTTTTATAGTTATCATAAAATTCGCTGATATTTTTTTGCGTCAAAATGGCAATGTTAACAGAGCATATAGTTACATGCAGTGGCGTAACTATACCGTTTGGGGCCCGTGGCAAATTCATCGGATGAAACCTCTGAAGCCTTAGGCTTCCTGCTAGGACCCCTTTGCCGACTTGCCACTCTGTAGTTACGCCACTGGTCAAATGCAATCCGCGACTATTAAATATATGTTAAAAGGTTAATAAAATTACACTACACAGTCTATACAGTACATAGATAGATAGGAGTTTGTTTATTTGCAAGCAGGGAAGGCGTGCACTTCAATTTGTCGGTGCGCGGTCCATGCGGCCGCGTCACGACACGTCCAATTTAACATGGCCGCCAACGAACGCAAATTGTGTTCCGTACATACCCGAGCACAAGTTACTCCCGTGATCCTAATGGAGATTGACTGCGAATTGCATTAACTTTTGCGACCACTGTACCTGTTATATGATACGTACTAATATTTTAGTGCGCATTTAAAGTTGAGTATGTGAATTATTCTATTGTAACGTTTGCGTCTATTGTATAGTGTATTTGTGTAACGAGACAGATGAATCAGAGATGTTTATACAGAATTTAATAAGACGACAAAACTCATTTAAAATAATGAAACTACTTTGAAATCCAATAGCTCTGCTGTACTTTTCTACTTCAATAAACCCAAGGCTGAACTAGCAAGAGAAATTAATCATAACTGGAACCCTCGGGGGAAATATCAAACAAGATTTTTTCTTAATAAATATTAGTTTTGGTACAAACCTGGCGAGTAGAAGCGCGTCTAGCGTCTGAGGTTGTCGCGCGTCTACGACGATAACGTGCGGCTGTTTGGTGTCGGAATCGCGTCGTAACGCTTCGAGCGTGTCGCGCGCGCTTCGCACTGAGCGCGCCTCGCCGCCTGCTCGCGCGACCGCCGCGCATGCTGCCGCGCAAACGCGCGATGCTCGCTCCGGGAACACGCATAGTAACTGCCGAAAAAAAAGAAAGTCAGATAAAGTTTTTCAAAAGCTTTTTTTAAACAAAATACCCCACACTATCATTTTTTCTTGTATCGTGGGTGCGTTTGCAAATATACAAGTTCACATACACATGACACCCAGGTTCGGAACAACAATTTGTGTATCACACAAAGAGTTGTATCGTGCAGCAATCGAACCCACTGCACGTTGCACGGCAGCCAGATGCCTAGCTTTGCTAGCCAACCGTGCAGTCAAGCTGAACATATTGTATTTCAAAAGTGTTAATCAGGTGTTAATCATCTTCTTTTTATTATGTCATGAGATTGTAAGACAAATGTTTCTAATAAAATTGTGTTCTAAGAGCTATTAAATGTTACCATTAACACAAACAGTCCAAAATAGATTAGCTTGATTTGAATACCTACAAATCGTCTCAAAACGAAGTACCTAAATAACTAGGTAGTTTACTGTAGTATTATAGTATTTAAAACAGATCAAAATTTAACATCAAACGGAGTACTGAAAGGCTTCTATTTCTTTGAGTCTTTTGTCTCAGGTTTAGACCGAAACGTAGCTCGACAGCTTTTGTTTTGAATCTATTCACAAACAAACAAAACATAGGACCCGAGTTCATTGAATGAATGATTCCTACATTCACGGTGTATCCAATGTGGGTCTAGCAGAATAGGTTTTCAGGTCCCTATTGTTAGTTCTGACAATGTGACACTTTATCGTGTACAGAACAATATTCGTAATGCTGTCTTCAGTTTTGTTGGTTGTATTTTGTGTGATTAAAGTTAAGGTGAAATAGTGGAACGTAATGTCATGTGATATATTTACTAAATGTGTCTTAGTATTCAACCTAAATACAAAATATACGATAATAGGTAGGTACTTTGTATTATAGACGTAGACAATAGGTAGCACAAATTGTGCAGTTACCTAAATGATAAGTAAATAAATTAAATTAAATAAATAATCTCTTACTTCGCGTTAGAGTGCTGAAAAATATTAGATTTCGTACTCGTTTAGACTTGTTCATATTTCAGTTCCAACCAAAATAACAACATGGCTGTCATAAAAATTAAGAAATGTTTACTTTTCTTATGTTTTAATGTAAAATTAATTACATTAGGTACACTCAATTTAGCGAATTTCTCTAAGATGGTGGTGTTATTGATTGATTTTGGGGTCCGAAAATTAAGTGAAAAGGTCATTAGGGTAACGTAAATCAATTAGGGAGGTCGCAGACATGTTTTAGAAGAGAAAATAATTCAATATTGCTGCTGCTATTTAAAGAAATATATATATTTTCTGATTATCTTTGTTTTTCGATATTTCTCAGTTCGAAATTGTCCTCTGTATGTGGCATTAGGTAGGTAAATGTCTAATAAATAAAGTTTATGCCTACTGTATACATAACATCAAAGGAGAATTTTATTTTAGTTTATGTTCAAACCGCTTCATAGATTCGAACTGTCAAAAAATTAAATATGGCGGCCAACAAACGGACGTTTGGAGGGACAAAAATTCAAAATGTCTGCGAAAACGGGCAAATGAGCAAAATAATAAAAATCCAGCGGACATTGAATGGAGCTGTAATTTTCTAAAGATTTCTTTGATCCAGTTGAATTTGTTTTTAAACCGTTGGTTGTTAGCAACGGCTTTTACGTTAATAGATATTGTTTAAAATAATACCAATCTGGGAAAGGTTTTGGTAATTATAATGAGATAGGGTCGAATGCTCACTACGTGGTGGAAATTTCCAAGATAATAGATACCTACTACTACTTTTTTAGATCAATTTATTATCAAAACCTTTAACGAAAACGTTTTTAAAAGTTTTGAAGTAATTATATAGCTATATATTTAAACTGTATGTAGGGTAGGTGTAATATAAATAATTATTTAAATAAACTGACTGCCTCGTTGGCCGAGTGGTCGCAAGTGCAAGGGATCTCGGGTTCGATTCCCAGGTCGGGTAAAGTATTACTGGGTTTTTCAAAAAAATCTCTGTAGTAGCACGGAGTCTGGAATAGGGTAGATGACTAATTTTTATTTTAATGTCTGTCTGGTAGATTATTTTAAAAAATTAGGCAAATATTTTTTTTTTGGAATAGTTTCGAAGATATATTGATTCGAAATGTCGCGTGACGTCACTTCTATGTATGTACATTTTATACGTAGAAAGTTTTAGCCGGTTAGCCCCCACTCCTAAGCTTTGATGCGTTATATCTAAGTATCACTTTATTACACAACAAAATAAAAAAATACTTGTCTAATATTTTTTTATTACCTAACTGACGAACTAATTACATTTCTAATTTTCATACACTGTCATCATAACTATTGTGCTGGTATATGGCAATAGGCTCGCCCCCTAATTCATAGGACTCATAAGACAAATAGTGGGTGTTACATTGTACAGTGGCATTAAGTGCCGTAATGTGCACCTCTGCCTACCCCTTCGGGAATAAAAGGCGTGATGTTATGTTATGTATCTATATAAAAGTGATATCACAAGGAAAATACAATATCACTGAAATCACAACATGATACAATGGAAAGGTTCATAACACACTAGTAGCTTAAATGAACAAGTATTTACGTGTTATATGACTAAATTAAATTACTTTAAATAATTTAAAATGGTACCCTGAGGGCTTAGATAAATAGGCACGGCACTCATAAGGTCAGCGTGCTGCTAAAACCAAAACTAAAAGCTGAAATAGGTTACTAAGGTAGACATTTTGTATTTTTGTTCCATTTAAGCCCCCGTTACGCGCGCTACCACAGATTGTGTTAAAATATTTTAATTAACAGTGTTGCCAGTGTTAATTGCTAATGGCAGCTCGCAACACAATTCTGCTTTTACAGTGTACACTAAAGCGAGTCTTTATTAAGCGTTGATAAAAAATCTGTGAAACATAACATCATAACATAACGTCCCGCCTTTTTAGCCCCGAAGGGGTAGGCAGAGGTGCACATTTCGGTGCTTAATACCACTGTACAATGTAACACCCACTTTTCACTATGAAACATTTTTGTTTATTTCTGGTTTTCGTATTGTTGTACTCATATATATGTACACACGACTACACATCAATCTATACAAAACCAGTTTGTCCTGGTATCGCGTCGGCCGTCGCATCATCTTTGCGCACATTTAACGTTCAGTTTATGTTGGTTATTTAAAGCTCGATGTGTAGCCGGTACAGGATAACCACTATTCACTAGATTAAATTAAGTAACAAATATAAAAAAAAATCATCTAAGCAAATTGAGAACCTCCTTCTGTATAGGAAAGGAAGTGACATCACAATAGTAATATCACACAGTTTAGCATAAATTCACACAGAAACCGTCGTGGTGGCTCGGAGGTTCAAAACTACCACTTCGCCCGGTTTAAGGGTTCGAAACCTACTAATGGCAAGTACCAATGTGACGTTTTGCGAGTTATATGTACTTTCTAAGTTATCTAGACACCACTGACCAACGGTAAAGGAAAAAATCGCGAGGAAACCTGAGCTTATAACTTCTAATTATAACTTTGCAATCGCCAACCTGCATTGGGCAAGCGTGGTGATAAATGCTCTAACCTTCTCCGTGTGAGAAGAGACTTTACTCAGCAGTGGGCACTTATAGGCTGTTGTTGTGCACACAAAACATTAAAAAGGTAGTAGTCACCCAGTTGTAAAAATGAGTCTAGCGACAAATAAGAGTCGAGTTCATAAGAGTACTTTACACCTGACCACGATCCCAGACTATATTAATAACAGTATACTGAAATGTTATAGTGATTAATTTTAATCATACAATGAATATTATTTGGTTGTACCTTACGTAAATGGTCGAGACATAGAGTTAATCCCAGCTAGTTACCACGAGGGTTAAAGGACCTTTAATACTTATGAGAGGGTTGTCTTTCAAAATCTTATTGAACATCTTGTTGAGCAAATCTTTTGAAACTGTTGATAACAATTCATTAATTTTGTTGGTAATGGTGGCAAGTGTATGCTTTTATGTTAGTCACGAATTAAGGTCAGTTAATATTTATCCGATTCCTGTATTTAACCTGAAACGTCTAGCACGTTTTCAATTATCATTTTAAGTGTAAGAGTGCTATGCTTCGGCTCGAATAGACAGGCTCGACCGGAGTACCACGGCCTCACAGAAAATCGACGTGAAGCAACGTTTGCGTTGTGTTTCGCTGTGTGAGTGAGGTTACCCGACGCCCTATTATTCCCCTTTTGATATACGCCCCATAACTTCCTCAATCTCCCCAATCCTTGAAGCACCAAAAATTCTCAAATTCCTAATCCCCAAAAGGTCGGTAACGCACTTGTGTTCCAGGCGTCTATGGGCGGTGCCGATAGCTTACCATCAGAAAATTCGTCTGCTCGTTTAGCGACTTATTCCATACAATAACATACACAAAATCTAGACTTCGTGGTATAGGTAACTGAGAGAATTGGTAGCCATTAATCAAATCTAAATCTAATTATAAGTTAGTGAAAGTGTAAGATTGTGTACTCACCTCTAAGGGTTCCGGCGGCGAGTAGAGCATGGCATTGGGAATGTTGGCGGGCGGCGGCGACCTGTTCTGCAAATACATACCACTGTGTAATATACATTAACACCACAACTACATTTCTAGCATATAAAGAAACATTAAATATCAAAGCTTTTGTTATTTCTATTAATTCCTATTTTACTTTGATTTACGGGCCCCCGATGAGGGTTGAAATTAGTTGAGTAACATTGTCGAAAAGTTACGTGGGTATAGCCTAATTAATCTAATATGTTTCAAGATAGCTAAAACTAAGCTAAATTTTATTGCTAATAAATAATGTTAAGTTATTATAAATGCTCTAATTTATGGATTAAAATAGGTAATAATGATATTTCAGTCCAGTTAAACAGCCTTGCGCTCAAAAGAATATATAGCTTTTCTTCTGAAGTATAAAGATCAATTTTCAAAATTCCACATAGAAGTTCATACCATAACGCAATTATTCTGTCGTAAATACTTTGTGTACGTATATAGGTACATAGCAACTCAATTCGTAACTCAATGTGTAAGTATATAATAACAGAAATTTATGTTTTTTTCTTTTTAAAAAACGTTGCCCCTGGATTTGCTCCTGTGTCGTGAGTGCGTTTACAAACATACAAGTTCACATACACAATGACACCCAGACCCGAAACAACAATTTGTGGAGCACAAAACACAAAATGTTGTTCCGTGCGGGAATCGAACCCGTGACTCGTTGCACGGCAGCCGGTTGCCCAGCCACCACACCAACCATGCAGTCAATATACACAGTTAATATACACAAACAGTTTTCAACTCCCTAACAGCTACAAACTTGGAAATCATATACCTAATATAAACGAATAAAAAGTTTGGAAGTCCCAGTAATATAATACGTACCAACGACAACGAGTATATTACGAAAATCTCATGATTTGGTAAAACTTCATAATGTTGGAAAAATAAATTGTAATAACTTGTTACCGATATGTTATTTGGAATTCATGTTTACCTATTCAATATTTACTTGACAAAATATTATGCTTGTTAACTGAAATTATAATAATAATAAAGTACGAATGATAAAGTGAATTTTGTTATTTTGTGTTACGCTTTTATGCGTAAACCGTTGAACCAATTTCAATATGACTAATGAACGGTTGGCGCGGTGGTTGGGCAACTGGCTGCCGCGCAAAGCGTCGCGCGTTCGATTCCCGCACGGAACAACTCTTTGTGTGATCCACAGATCGCTGTTCCGGGTCTGGGTGTCATGTGTATCTGAACTTGTATGTTTGTAAACGCACCTACGACAAGGGAGAAAATCCTAGTGTGGAGGATAGTGGAGAATTAGATGAAGCCTTTTCGATATGATATGCTACAACTTCATTTGTTTGGGAATATGAGGATTGTGGAGGATTCGGGGATTGGGGAGACTAGGAAGGGGGGAATCATTTAATGGTTACCTAAGTTCAACCGATAAATGTCCAAGTACAAAGACATTGGTATTCAGAGTAGCCGACATTAAGACGAGCCTTTTATTCGCGTCATTTGGTTCGATCCGGTCTCCAATCCGATCAATCAAATTGCCTGAACATGCTGAATTACAGGCAAAATAGGATGGAAGATACAAATTAGTGGAGTGAGGGGGATTGTAGATAGAAATAGCAATTTAAAAGAGTTTTGTTTATATAAATAATCACCTTATAGCAATGTAAAAGATAAAAGATGAGCAGAGATAAAATTATTTATTTACTTTTACCAATTAAGTTCATAACTAAATGAAAAAATTATTCTTTCATAACTACGTTTAAAAACCGACTTCAAACCCTTCTTTTTTTGAAGTCGGTTTATTAATATACTAAGACCTTCTCCTAAGTATAACTAATACTTTTCTGAAAACCACATCAAAATCGATTCACCCAATCGTGAGATAATAGCGCACAAACATAAACACACACACACACATACATAGTACATACAGGTCAAACTGAGATCCTATTTTATTGGAGTCGGTTAAATATGGTACAAAAATGAATGCATTTCACGTTTATAACATACTAGCTACTTCCGCGTGGTTTCACGCGCTCTGCTCAGCTCCTATTGGTCGTAGCGTGAAGTTTTATAGCTTATAGCCATCCTCGATAAATGCGCTATCCAATACAAAAATAATTATTCAAATCATACTTGTAGTTACGGAGATTAGCGCGTTCAAACAAACAAAAAAAACAAACTCTTCCGCTTTATATAATAGTATAAGATAAGATACAATTTTGTGAAGTTGTTCTAAATTCATAAATACATTAGGTAAACATTATTTTCTAATAATCAAGAAAGTATTAACAGATTACCTTACTTTTATCCTTTGTCGAGTAGATTACAGACACAGGGCATTTGTGCTAATTTCGTAGAAATATCTAATCTAAATAAATCAAGGAACTTTATTGTAACGCCATAAAGATTAATTTCGCAGAAGGATGTTTGGCATTTATAAAGACAACCTATTTTAACTGTTTTAAATTGTACTTATTTAATTAAACATTTAGTGTACGCGTTCCGATTGCCAGGTAACCGGCGCCCGGGTACTTACCCGGCGGTGCAGTGGATACAAATAGCGCCGGTACGTGTGAAAGCTACAGTAAATAGCCATACACTGAGCCGTTGGTGTAAAAAGGCACTAAGCTGAAAGAAGCCATTGAAGTTAAAACTCTTTTAATAAAAATACGATAAGTATACAGTATATATATACAAGGTGTTGTTTTAAAGCCTCGTCATTTTCTAGGAGGTAACTCGGCTATCGATTCTGAGTTTGAATCAATAAAAAAAATTATAGGTAAATATTTTTCATTTTTCTGTAAATTACGGAAATCCGTAAGTGCGAACTACACGCCGCTGTCTTGTAACTAGTTTTATAACGCGGCTTAACACATACAAAATCAAACACGTAATTGATATTATTCCTAATTCCATAAAACTCCAATAAGAAACATTTCAGTCGCTTATTCTGAAATACTATCGAACTTAAACGATTTATTGTAGCCGTATTTTTAACTATTAGCCCGAAACTTTCTCTTACATTGAACCTTCATGACTTCTATGACATGCCTCCGAGAAATGCCACGGTTTTAAAACTACACCTTGTATACACACATTGTACATACATACCACACAAGGAGGGAAAGAACATACTATATATAGGTAATAAATCGGGAACCCCCCTTCTGAATTAAATTAAATAATTAATTGGAACTCCAGGCTAAGGCGTGAGTGTCTGTAGTATATAATTATGCATGATGTAGTGTAGGTATTATGACGAATCATAATGACGAATACATAAGGCAGATATGACCAGAAGTCATGTACACAAGTATAGCGATGTATTTATCATCATAATGATAATAATCGGCCATCAGTCACTTTGTCGCCTTATCTAAACATATAAAAAAGAACCTATAAAATTATTTAGTACACTCATAAACTTAGCTTACGCATCTACTAAGAAAACCCCGGGGTAATCTCTCTGTTGCGGGAATAGGGATGTAATACTCGATCCCGGGATAGTGTTCCCGGAGGAGATTCCGGGATATCCCTGGAGGTAGTGCGGGATCGCGTGAGTGCTTATTTGATCCGATTAAGGCTTACGTTCCCGAGCTGTGAAGAGCTATTCAGAAAATTAGAACAAGGAATTTAAAGTGACTGTCTACACAGGTTTTATAGCGTGATGATTCTTTATTTATACGAACAATGTTTATTATGGCTTTTGGTGTGACCAGAACCTAAAAAAGTACAACCATTTAACCACATTTGTTAATATACCAAAAGTAATTTAGAATATCATTAAAAGTAGCCTTAATCGAACATGTACCTATGAAATGATTGATGACTGTTGATGTAGCGAAAGAGGTATGTAAGAACCGTAGCAATTGGCATTCCATAGTCTTTACCTACCCCATAGGAGACCGGCAGTTATGTATATGTATGCGTGTAATTAAGAAGTTCTACATTGTAATAATTTGTGTATTATTCTAGTAAAATTTGAAATACCTATCTAAAACAGCTATGAACATAAACTGCAAGTCGTATATAATTGTAGAAATGCAGTTTGTACGGTGTTTTATTACTGGGTTTCATCTAGAATTGAAATATATAATAAACTTGCTGTTTGGAGTCTGAGGTTGATTATCTAGGTTGAATATAACGTAAATCTTACCTGCATATAACAACAAATTATTACATAGTAAAGATCCATCATGGCATGATCATAGTCATCATTATCATCAACAGCTCCTAACATTTAACGCTCCACTATAGGTTTTTTTTCTAAGGGGGAAAAACATCGATTGACTTCTCCCGCCTGGATGAGGCGGGAGGGAGTGTCAGACTCTCATTAATTAAAAACCACCCCCGTTCCAACTCCTGCACTTCGAGCCGGAGCCTCCACTACAAGATAGGATTCCTTTTCAAGATTAATCTTTATTGGTACACTAGCTTCTGCCCGCGACTTCGTACGCGCGATCCCATTTTCTCCCATTCTCGTAGGATTTTCAGGATTTTTTCTGTCATAAGAACCTTCACCAGACAATAACAAACACAACAAAAAAAAAAATCAGCCAAATCAGTCTAGCCGTTCTCAAGTTATGGCGTGACAACGAGGTTTCATTTTTATATATATAGATGGATTAAAGATTATAGTTTGCTTCTGCCGACCATGCGATTCAAAGTTCTATTTCTAGGGTGGACATTCCATAGTACATCCTCCTTATTTCTTAAAATAAGGATCGTTAGGTGTCATTTCCATTACTTGTGCCTCTCTCTAACATAACATTTTCGACAACTTAATATAGTCTTGTCCTATACAAAGGTAATCGACCTCATCTATTGCCAGTGTTGTTATTAAAAGCCTAAATAAGTATTTATTTTGTTCGAGGACAATTCCCAATTGACGGCCATGTGTAATTCTGTAGGCGTATATTTAAACCGATTTGAGAACGAATCATGACGCACATTTGTAAACATAGACAGGATATTAGGTACTACGGTGATTTTAGTTAGGGAAAAGGAACTTTCACTAG